TTGAGATTTGAAAATGGCTATCACATCTTCTCTCAGACTTCTCTTTCCCATGCTAAATATACCCAGCTCCCTCAACCATTCCTCATAAGTCTTGGTTTCCAGACCCTTGATCATCTTGGTTGCCCTACCCTCCTCTGCCCATGTTCCAGCTTAGCAATATCCTTCTTCAATTCTGGGACCCAGAACTGGACACGCTACTCCAAATGTGATCGGACCAAGACAGAATTGAGTGGTACTGTTACTTTCCTTGATCTGGATGCTATATTTCTGCTGATGTAGCCTAGAATTGCATTAGCTTTTTTGCGGCTGCATCACACTGTTGTCTCAAGTTAAGCTTGTGGAGCTTATGGTCTCCTAAAACTCCTGGATAAAACTCTAGTACTACTGGCAAGCCAGGTGTCTCCCATCCTATATTTGTTCATCTGGTTTTTCGGACCTAAGTGTAGAACCCTACATTTTTAATATGGAATTCATATTGTCAGTCTTGGCCCAGTTCCCCTATCTATTAGGGTTGTCCTGAATCTAGATTCTCTATTCTGAAATATTAGCTACCCCAGTTTGGTGTCATCTGCAAATTTGATTTGCCTTCATCCAAGTCATTTATGGGATGTGGGTGGCGCGGTGGGTTAAACCACAGAGCCTAGGACTTGCTGATCAGAAGGTCGGCGGTTCGAATCCCCACGACGGGGTGAGCTCCCATTGCTCGGTCCCTGCTCCTGCCAACCTAGCAGTTCGAAAGCACATCAAAGTACAAGTAGATAAATAGGTACCGCTCCGGCGGGAAGGTAAACGGCGTTTCCATGCGCTGCTCTGGTTCGCCAGGTGCGGCTTAGTCATGTTGGCCACATGACCCGGAAGCTGTATGCCAGCTCCCTCAGCCAATAAAGCAACCCCAGAGTCGGACACGACTGGACCTAATGGTCAGGACCTAATGGACTGGACCTAAGTCATTTATAAAGATGTTGAACCACAATGGCGCCACAACAGAACCCTGCAACATTCCACTTGTCATTCTTTTTCCAGGATGATGAGGAACCATAAGACAGCACCCAGTCAGTCAACCAGCTACAAATCCACCTAACTGTAACATTGGCAAGCCCACATTTTATCAGCTTCTTCGCAAGAATACCATAGGGAACTTTGTCAAAAGCCTTACTGAAATCAAGATACACCATGTCCACAGCATTCCCCCAATCCTCCAAACTTTTAACTCCGTCAAAAAAAGAAATGAGATTAATCTGGCATGACTTGTTTTTGAGAAACCAATGCCAGGTCTTATAGCGACAGAGCTATAGTAATCACAAGATCCTTTTCTAAGCGCTCCCTAACTGGCTGTTTAATTATATGATCTAGACTCTTTCCTGGTGTCAATGTCAGACCTGGGTCTTCTCCCCCCCCCCCAACTTTTTGAAGATGAAACAACATTTGCATCTGTAAAAAATCGTCACAAAGAAGATTCAATTTCACAACCAAGCAATCAGGATGTATGCAAAGGGAGATAAGAAATGTCCATATCAAATAACACTTCTCCAAAAGAGTGCCAGAAAATGACATTCTGAAATATTTTATTATCATGATAACTACTGCCACTACCATCACAAACACCTGCACCGCGAAAACCTCTTCACATTTACTATATGCAGCACTTCAAACATGGGAAGAGAAACTGCAGAGCAGCGAACATGACATGCAAGAAAGCGCTCTTTAGTTTCAACAGCAGTTAGGCTGCATCTGGATACCTATTTTAATTGCGTATAAAACAGGGACCCTTTTGCTCTGTCTATGTGAAATCTGGCAGGTGTGATGCCCTGGAGATAGCAGAATATCTGCAAATGTCATGCCATTTGGAATGGAAATTCACACGCAGCAGAAGTCTATCTGCGTCTTTATAGAAATCAATGGGGAAACAAAACAAAACAAAAGAAGATAGCTTTTGGAAGGTAGGAGGTATTAACACCATCTAAATAAGGTTTCTTCTGAGATTGCAGGGGAGGTAAGTACCAGCTCCGGAGCATTGTGGAGTCATTTAAAAAAAAGCTCATCCCAACTCAGTATTTCAGTCTTATTGAAAATGTAAAATAATCAATGAATGAATATCATGGAATTGTAGAATTGGAAGGGACCATGAAAGTCATCTATTCCAATGCCCTGCAATGAAGGAATCTTCTGCCCAAGAGTTATTCTGATAAATATCCAACAAACCCTGATAGAAACTGCCTTCTCCCATGAACTGCCCTCTTCAGCTTTGACCTTGGAGAAACTCCTAAATTATATTTCTACAGCTGCTCCTTTGATTTATTATTTGACCCCAGCCCATCACCCTACAATTTGTTCTGGTCTCTAAAATTGCCCAGGCTTCAATCACCAAGCCAGACCACCCATGCCCAAAGTCCTCGTCTTACCTTTATTCAACATTCCTTTTTCATTGGGCAAGGGTGGACCTTATAGTTGAAGGATTGCCATTTAAATCATAAGCAATCAGGAAAATCTGATTGCTTATTTTTATAAGGCCAATGGGCTACATAAAACCTGGGAAGGAACAAAGAGTGTCCCTTGGCTGCCCGCCTCTCTGACGTGTCTTCCCTCTGATTAAAATTTGCACCAGTGTAGCATTAATTGTAAAAGGTCTTTGGCTCTTCTCCCGGACATAAATTTTTAAACTATGTAAAACCACTTGGGGGGAAAACAACAGCAGCGACAGAGCTATCCAATTGTGACTCTTCCAAAGAAAAAAAATATATATTGGGGAAGCGCCAAATGTAAGGAAGCAGACATTGATAAATAGCCATCGCCTCCCCCAAAAGAGGAGCCAAACAGTAGGATACTAATAAAATTTAGATGCAAATGGGGTGTATCTTTTCCCTGCTTATGAATGCCCAATTAGCCATAATGGCAACAAGCAGCCTGGCTTCCAGCTGGAATCTGACACCCAATTTAAGCAGACTACAAACAAGTACAAAGGCTAACAAAACATCCATAGTGGGGAGAGGCAGTGGAGGGTGGGGCGGGGGGAGATTAGAAACACACATACATTGAGATTTCCATAGCTGCTGCTTGCAAACAATGGATCTGGCCAACCAGGAAATGAGATTAGGTTAATATGCAGCATCGAAAGAGGACAGAAAGAGAAAGTTTCCTCTTCCCACAGTAAAAAAGGACAACAACCCCCAACACACTTTTCAGGTCAGACTACAAACTATTTGTTTCAAATTATTGGCATTAAAAGCACAACACCCTCCTGTCTTCTGGAGAAATATGGGCCACTGGGCTGATAATTCTCCATTGCTGATTTACTGTTTTTCAAACAATAGCTTGAAAAATGGCTGGATCCCTTGAGGTGCTAAATCCTTCCATGCCATCAGAGCTTTCTGTATAGGCATCCGCATGGGTACACCTTCAAATGGATGGCGTACAACTTCCTAGCAATGGTCCCTCTGATCCCGTGTGAATTCCAGTCTGAACAAGTATACAGCGTAACTGGTTGAAAGTCACCAAACACATTCAGATTTGTGCCTATCATTCTGCAGCAAATAGCTGAACGATGGAACTCGTTCCCCCAGGTGACAGTGATGGCCACCAACTTGGAAGGCTTTAAAAGAGGATTGGACAGATTCATGGAGGAGAAGGCTATATCAGTTGCTACCAGCCATGATGGCTCTGCTCTGCCCCCACAGTTGAAGCAAGCAATGCTTCTGAATACCAGTTGCTGGAAACCACAGGAAGGAAGAGGGCTCTTGTGTGTAGGTGCTGCTCCCTGGTTTCTCATAGACATCTGATTGGCCACTGTGAGAACAGGATGCTGAACTAGAAGTGTCATTGGCCTGACCTAGCAGGTTCTTCTTATGTTCTAGATCTGGAAGCTTCAACCATGAATGTTCTAGGACTTTATGTGCTAGAGCCAGAAGGCACCTTCTGAGAATGGAATGGCTACTTCCCTACCTTCACAGGAGGGAATGAGAACTGTTGGAAGCTGCCAATGAAGCAGGGCGGAGGGGAGTTATTTCTTTGTCAATTTCTTTCCCTGCTCAGTATTGTTTTGTGACTTTTGAAATATTATTTTTAGTAGAGTTCTTCTCATTATGAACTGTTGTTTAAAGAAGACATCCTTAATTTTCATTTAGTGCTGGGCCAAATTCAGAGTTATTGCATTAATTTACAAGACCCTTAGCAACTTGGGTCCAGATACTAAGGACCACTTAATTCATTATATCCCTGCCCAATCAAAGGGGGTTCTTGGGGGGGGGGTTGCTGTTAGTGTTCTCCAACGGGTCCAATTTCATACCTTGCATCCATCAGGACCTGTGCTCAGTACTGTGGGTTCAAATCTGTGGAACTCCTTCCCAGCTGATATCAGACAGGCCCCCTCTCTGTTGAATTTCAAGCAACGGGTGATGACTTAAAAAATAATAATCAGCCATTTTATGCTTAATTTTAACTGATTATACATCTGCATCTCTTTGGTAACCTCATTGTACTCTGCTTAGTAATCATGGTGCTATGTGATATATAAATTGGTGGGGGGAAATAAATAATCCGTAAAATTATGAGAACCAAAGAATGGTCAAACAGTTATGTTGCCTCCACAGACTTCAAAAGATTTCTATTTTTATTGTGCTGTTCCATGGGGTGTCTACAGGACCATGGACAGCTCTCAATGGCACTGAGAGAATTCAGGTTGGATACAGGCACCGAAGAGCAGCAGACTCAGATGTTGCTGCAGCAGAAGTCAGGAACCAACTGGGGCTTCCTACAGGCTGCAGGCATGTCAAGAGGGAAATTCGTGGTGCTTAAAGTGTTTGGTCAAAAGTCTGGAGATGGTCAGAATTGGAGGGTAGAGTGACGAAGCCATGTATGTGGACACAGTGGTTGCTCCTAGGGGTCTCCTCACATGGATTCCTCTGCCTCTCCATGGTTCATTTAGAGGCAATTCCTGTACATAGACTTCCCCTCTTCAGTGTCCTTAGGTCTTTGTTTTGATTGATAGTTTTGAACCCTAGGCCATCACATTTATGTGCATAAGAACACTGAACATTTGCTTTTAAAGTCAGTGCTAAAGAGCTGGTGTCCTTCGCCATACAAGACTTTCGTTTGCTCTGGAATCAGACTCAAAGGGATTTTGGTGTCCACATGGTTAAAGCAATAAACAAACAAGCTGGAGAATGAGTAGTGGGAAGATAGATTCTTCCCGTGCCTGATATTTTCTGCTTTTAGAAGCCTGCTACCCACTCTGCGAACATGGAGCACCCTGTTTCTGTTATGACTATTGTGCTATACGAAGGCTCAATGCAGGGGAAATTACAAGAGCTGGAAACTGGGAAACAGACCGAGAAGAGGAAGGCAGAATTTGAAAAATGTGAGATTGTGAATTAAGACATTCAAATAACAAGCCACGTAGCCTTTTCTGTAGGGCTGATAATCTCCATATGAAATTCAAAGCTAAGAATTGAATATGTCACTTCTATTTGGCGTATATTTAACAGTTAGTTTTAAAAGCCCTTTTCTTCATGTTCAGCATGAAATCCAGGCTTTCGAGTTCTCACATCAATGGCATCTTCATTTAGCCTTTCAAGATATGAAAGCTATATGATGACTTCTGTAACTACTCACAGCAGCTCAAATTAATTGATCCCTTTTGCTGAGCAGATATCAAACAGTGCCTTCAAAGCTGATATAGAGAACATATTTGCCACTGTGTATAGCTGGGTATATTTTATAGGTTTATTTCTTTGTGTTTTTAAAGAAAGGAATGGCCTTGTTTTGGCACTGAAGTCTATTTCATACAGTTACATATCGACTTTTAAAATTCTCCCTTTTTTAAAAAAAGCTCTTAGATGTGTGGGATCGGGATTGGTGACAACACTCTGTTTACTATCTTATTTTACAGAAATAAGACAGAAATATAGAAACCAGGTTACAATTCAATTGAAGAGTATTTTTAATAATTATAATATTTTTAAAAATCAAAATACAAACTCATGCTAAATTATTCCAGAGGGTTTTCCATTCAAGTATGAAATGTATTCGTGAATCTTTTTTCATGTTTCCAGTACCTTATTACCTTTTGTAATAAAGATACCTTGCACATTAGCATACAATGCCAGATTGCATTTTCCCATTCCCTTACAGATGGAACTTCCTGTGATGGGTAAACTGCAGTTCCCAGGATTCCTTGAGGGAAGTCATGTTCTTTAAATGAATGGTGAGGATGGGAGCCTTGTTAGCAAGCTCTCATTGGGCATGAATTTCTTCACCACGTTAGAGCCCTTTGGATTGAATGACGGTATTCAAAAATAACTGGGGAGGTATCAAAATAGGCTTGGTAAGTGAGAAACAGAAGATTCTGCACCATACAAGACTGGGGCCATTTTACCACACAGATACATGCATATCAGGTAGCTAGAAAGTGGTCATTATGTCTGAAGCTCTGTTGTACACATTTACAGTCACATTCAGTCACTAGCCAGAGTGAGGTGGCTGCTTCAGGCCAGGGCCATCTTAAGCATATCCGGCACCATGGTGCAAAGCTCCCTCCAGCACCCCCCGTTTCCCAGAGTTTTTTAGGGAGGATGGCACTGCCAGCGGGGCTGGAGGAGGCGGGCAGTGGCTGGAGGGTGGCTCCTCTGGTGGGGAAGAGGCAGAGGCTGGACATGGCACCTCCCGGCTCATCTGGGCGCTTTATGCCATGGTGGGCCATGGCAGATGGAGGTCCTGGGCACAGCGCTGCTTTGGCATGGCATGGCAGAGGCAGATGAGGGTAGCAAGCTGATGCCAGGAGGCGCCACATCCAGCCTCTGCTTCTTCTCTGGCGCCCCCGCGCCACTAGCTTCTATGGGTAAGACGCCCCTGCCTCAGGCAGCAGATTCTGAGGGGCTGTGAGTAGAAAGAGCTGGGTGTGCACTTCCTAAGCTATCCTGCTGCCCTCAAATGCTGTGTAGGCTGCTCCAATAAGTGTTGGAAGTGTAAAGAGAAAGAGGGCATGTTTTATCACATGTGGCGGAATTGTAATCAAAAGCTATTGGGAAATGATTTACAATGAAATGAAATGAAAAATGTTTAAGATCACTTTTGTTAAAAGAGCAGAAGCTGTTTTGCTGAGCATTACAGTGGTACCTCGGGTTAAGAAATTAATTCATTCCAGAGGTCCGTTCTTAACCTGAAACTGTTCTTAACCTTAGGTACCACTTTAGCTAATGGGGCCTCCTGCTGCCACCATGCGATTTCTGTTCTCATCCTGAAGCAAAGTTCTTAACCCAAGGTATTATTTCTGGGTTAGCGGAGTCTGTAACCTGAAGCATCTGTAACCTGAAGCATCTGTAACCTGAGGTACCACTGTACAGGCCAAGACCTGCCAAAAGCATGGAAGAAACTATTCATGTATGCTACAACATGGGCTAGGATATTACTAGCCCCAAAATGGAAAGATGACAAGTTACCAACGAAAGAAGAATGGCAAGGAAAACTGATGGAATACATTATGCTGAAATGGTGAAGCTCACTGGAAAACTTAGAGACAAAGACAATAGAGATTTCAAAAAAATTATCGGGAATCGTTTATGATGTATCTACAGAAACACTATAAAGAAGTAGATTCACTAGCAGAGTTTGACTAAACACTTACAATTAAGAAAACAAATATAAAAGTTAAGTAATATGGAAAATATGAATGATATGAGTGTAATAAGATATAGTTAAAAGACTACAAATTAAGGTAGAATAAAATAAGCAGAAGAAACAATATTTAAAGAACCAGAAGAGGAAGTTGAGGGAAGTCAGGGGAGATTGGGATTTGCATATGTTTTCTCTTTTCTTGTGATAATGATGATTGTGTTGAATACAAAAATGTAAAACTTAATAAAAATTATTAAAAAACAAAACACAAATGCTGTGTAGGCCACAGTTCTGTTACCAGTGCTGACTGAAGTAAGATTCAGTTGGCAGGCTGCTTGGGTTTTGTACCTGGAACAGGGGAGGGGCCATCTTGTTCTGCACTTCAGGAAGCAAAAATTCTCAGGCCAGCCTTGATACACGGCATAAAGCTCCTCAACCCCTGAACAATTCTGTTTATTTTTCAGCAAAAGCAACAGCTTCCAGCCATGAAAAATATGGGAATTACTGCAGTGTGTGAAAATTCCACTTTACAGTACTTTTAGTGCTCAAATGATTTCAATTCCCGCCATCTGGGGTGCCTGCTGCTCGCCAGTCTGCAAACTCGGACACTGCTAGCAGCGCTCACAAAAAAACACACCAAAAAAACCAACGTTCCCTTTTAACTATTGCTAAAGCTCTGCAGCTGTCTTTCTGTGTGCAAATGGAAGCGATCTCTCCAAAACGGAACATGAATGGAAGGATAGCCAATGAATTTTGAGCCAGTGGAGAAGTGGCTTACGTGGAAGAAACTCTGAATTAGTGCCAGGCTCCAGATGGACACAGGTTGCTTGTTCAAGTGAAAAATATAACTGTCCAAATACTGGTCCTAATTGCATTACATGAATGTTATTTACACACTGGTTGTAATTTCCATTAATTTATATTGAGCATTTCCCAAGACAAGGGAAAACGTTTCCCACGTCGTCTGTGGAGGATAATCCCTTCCACCACCATCCCAGTTTATTACCCAAATCTAGACATCAAGCATACAGGAATCCTAGTGGTGAAGCATGAAAACTACTAGCACATTTGCAAAGCTAAGCAGGGTCTGGTATGGTTTCAAATTGGATGGGAGACTGTGTGTTGAGATTCCTGTAATGCAGAGGATTGGTGTAGGTGACCCTTCCAACTTTATGTCTCTATGATTTCTATGAATCTGTTTGTAGGTAAATATTTGCAAGGCGAAACACAGTGTGGAACAGACAGACAGAGCCCAACGCGCCTGCTTTTCTATGTCCCACAGAAGCAAGGATCCTGCATGGATCTGACTGATTCGGTTTAATAATAATAATAATAATAATAATAATTTATTATTTATACCCGCCCATCTGGCTGGGCTTCCCCGGCTACTCTGGGTGGCTTCCAACAGAATATTAAAATACAATAGTCTATTTAACATTAAAAGCTTCCCTAAACAGAGCTGCCTTCAGATGTCTTCTAAAAGTCTGGTAGTTGTTTTTCTCTTTGACATCTGGTGGGAGGGCGTTCCACAGGGCGCATGCCACTACCAAGAAGGCCCTCTGCCTGGTTCCCTGTAACTTGGCTTCTCGCAGCGAGGGAACCGCCAGAAGGCCCTCAGCAATGGACCTCAGTGTCTGGGCAGAACGATGCGGGTGGAGATGCTCCTTCGGGTATACTGGACAGAGGCCGTTTAGGGCTTTAAAGGTCAGCACCAACACTTTGAATTGTGCTCGGAAATGTACTGAGAGCCAATGTAGGTCTTTCAAGACCGGTGTTATATGGTCTCAGTGGCCGCTCTCAGTCACCAGTCTAGCTGCCGCATTCTGGATCTGTTGTAGTTTCCGGGTCACCTTCAAAGGTAGCCCCACGTAGAGCGCGTTGAAGTCCAAGCGGGAGATAACTAGAGCATGCACTACTCTGGCGAGACAGTCTGCGGGCAGGTAGGGTCTCAGCCTGCATACCAGATGGAGCTATGGTCTGGCTTCTTTTCCCTTTTTACTTTGAAATGCATATGTGTGCCAGACTAGATTTGATATTAATATATGGCTTTTGTTATGCAACTAGCAGTAACAAAAGCATCCTGACCAACTTCGGGACCTAAGGAGATGGAGAAGAAGAGCTTAACCCTTTCTCCCCAGCTACAGCCCCAACAAAAAATCCTCTTCTGCCAGCTGCTTATATTTATTAGGAGAGAATACAAACAGCAGCTTAGGAAGATGATTTTCACTGGGATCACTGCATGCGGATAAAGAAGGCTTAAATTTTCCCTCTCTGCTCCCTGTAGTCCCAGTTCTACTCAGGATCCCCGATGGCTATTTATATAAGAAAAAACCCATCATGCACATTAACTGCAATCATGCAGTTTGGGCTCTTATTTGGCATTTTTTTAAAAAAATTGAATCATGGGATATACAGAGATGGCAAAACTGACAGCTCTGATAAGAGACACAAATCTAGAATTTTTCAAGGAGGACCGGAAACCTTTTCTGGTCTATTTAAAAAATAATTGTCCATACGCATAGTCCACAGTGGGGTTTGAAATTTAAGAAAAATACAGCAGAATATATTGAGAAACCTGTTAAAGAGGATGAAGCTGTATATGATGCAATTGTAAGATGCAATTGTAAGATGCAATTGTGATTATAAACATTGAGGATGGGTGAGCCGGAAGTCATTAGTATTGCAGAATGAGGATTATAACTGTTGAGTGATAACATGTAACTTTGTATTTTGAAATAAAAGAAAAAAGGAAATTGGGCGGTGGGGGAATAACGGTCTCCCCCCCCCCATTGGCTTTTATGTAGCAACTGGAGCTTCCAGTTGACTCTGCTATTGGTTGTTCAGGCCCCTTTCTTCCATGAAAAGGGTGTGCAGAGCTTCATTTTTGTGTGACCGTGATCATGCATATAGTTAGGTCCATATAGTTAAAGCTATGGTTTTCCCAGTAGAGATGTATGGAAGTGAGAGCTGGACCATAAAGAAGACTGATCGCCGAAGAATTGATGCTTTTGAATTATGGTGTTGGAGGAGACTCTTGAGAGTCCAGTGGACTGCAAGAAGATCAAATCTCTCCATTCCGAAGGAAATCAGCCCTGAGTGCTCACTGGAAGGACAGATCCTGAAGCTGAGGCTCCAATACTTTGGCCACCTCATGAGAAGAGAAGACTCCCTGGAAAAGACCCTGATGTTGGGAAAGATGGAGGGCACAAGGAGAAGAGGACGACAGAGGACGAGATGGTTGGACAGTGTTCTTGAAGGTACCAGCATGAGTTTGACCAAACTGCGGGAGGCAGTGGAAGACAGGAGTGCCTGGCGTCCTCTGGTCCAAGGGGTCATGAAGAGTCGGACATGACTAAATGACTAAACAACAACAATCATGCAAAGCCACCGAACTATTTTGAAGTGAGCAGAAGCAATGCTGCCAAATCCCGATGAGCAAACCTTCACCTTCAACATTTCCGCTTGCAGGATAGAAGGATGGCATTGGGAAAAAAACATTGTTGCTAATGACTGCTTAGCTTCTGGCTCAGTGAAGTGTGGGTGCTGTAAATGCATGTTCCATTGCTCTCCAGTTGCTATAAAAGCACCTGGCTTCTCCCTGTTTTTCAGCTCTGATGCTGCTGAAAGATAAACAGGTGAAAATGGACAGCCAAGTGCTACTTTGCATGGGGGGGGGGGGATCGAGGTGCTGAAGAAGATTGGTCCTAATAAGGCAAGTTGATCTTTATTGATGGTCCCTTGAGTCAGGGAACAGGGGAGGTTTCCTTCACAAACCATAAAAACAAACCACAAAATTAGGGCAGCCGTTCACATTATGCTTGCATGTGTGCTGTGTTTGGTAAATTTGTGCTTGCAGACACCTGGGTACTCTAAGGCCTCATCCAGCCTTCCTTTTGTGATTTGTTTCTAGGTACAGGCCTGCACTTTTAAAATCTTTTTTTGCCCTAGCATTTTCACTGTGAAAACCTGCTCTTTACTTCTTATTGTTTTCCATAGGCATAGCCAAGGGGGGGGGCAGGGGGCAACTGCCCCCCCCATCAATAATAATAAAAATACACAGCAAACTGAGGTTCTGCCTCCCTCAACAAAAATCATTTTCTCTCTTTTTCCCCTTGTTTTTCTCTCTTCTTTCTTTCTCTTTCCCTTTCCTCCTTTCCTCCTTTTTTAATATTAATTTTGAATAAAATAGATATTTGGCAGTAAGATTTGTATCTATCTTTATAAACACTAATAAAATTTATTTTTAAAAAGAAAAGCATAGATCTGTGCCTAAAAAGTGCAGGGCAAAAGGTAAAAGGTGAGTTTGGATGAGCCATTGGGCTGTGATTACAGAGGTATGCTTAAAGGCACATGCATTTATGATGATTATTCTTAATAATTAAACTTAAATCCTGCCTTTCCTCCCAAAGGAGCCCAGGGCAGCAAACACACAAGCAATAAAGCAATTGTTGTTGTTTAGTCCTTTAGTTGTGTCTGACTCTTCGTGACCCCATGGACCAGAGCACGTCAGGCACTCCTGTCTTCTACTACCTCCCGCAGTTTGGTCAAACTCATGTTGGTAGCTTTGAGAACACTACCAGCGCTGCTACCGAGAAGGCCCTCTGCCTGTTTCCCTGTAACCTCACTTCTCGCAGTGAGGGAACCGCCAGAAGGCCCTCGGAGCTGGACCTCAGTGTCTGGGCTGAACAATGGGGGTGGAGACGATCCTTCAGGTATACAGGGCTGATGCAGAATGTGGATAGCAGTTCCTTGAGAGCTGAACAACATTAGGGCTACCATCAAAAAAAAATAATGGATGCCAAATGAAATATTTTGCATCATGGCACAGAAATGGAAGCAGGAAGAACTACCGACAAAAGAGGAATGGCAGATGAAACTGACAGAATGGCAGAATTGGATAAGATGACAGGGAGAATTCGAAACCAGTGGGACCAGAAATTCTTGAAAGATTGGAGTAAATATACGAGTTATCTGAAAGACAATTGTAACCAACTGACTACGCTTGCAGGACTACAAGAGGTTTTGCAAGGAGAAATATATGATATATTGCAGAAAAGATTTATGAGAATGGGTTTTAAGTTATGGATTGTTAAAAGTAGTACTTAGGATAACAAAGGTAAGGTTAAGAGATGAGGTTTGAAAAGGTTAAGAGATGAGGTTGATGGAAGTCTCAGACTAAAATAGCCAAAATGTTGTATAAGATGAGATGAGATTATATGTTCTGTTTGGAAAATATATGTAAAATCTAATAAAAATGTATATTTAAAAAGAAAGAAATATTTTGCATCATTGCTTTGTGGGACACATCCCTGATTGCAGAAGGTGCCTCTGGAAAATACTGGAATCCAAAGAATACTGTGCTGTACACTGGAAAGAAAATATTCCACTTGTCTGGCATACCTGCAGTATCTATTTTATGAGCATCCTTTTTGTGGTCCACTAGCTTACTTGTTGATTGTTCCTGTAATGCCTTACAGG